TTTATTTCAATGGCTTTGTTCTTACATCTTTTGTAACTTGAATAAAACTGGATTTTCTTCTTTTAATTCGGTCTAAGAATCTTTGTCTCTTAAACTTCAGTTAGGACACTTACGTTTAATCACAGTACTGTTTATATTTCTATCATTTTGTACGGTGTATGTGCTATTTGTCCCATTTCTATCTTCATTCTCCTATTTTTTTGGTAATAACTTGGCATCTGGATTTTATTTCAATCCCTTGGATGGTTATCCTAGACAATTCAAATGCATCTTTAGCTAAAAGGGTCTATGGTGACACCAGCTAGACCCAGCACCTCACTGGGCCAGGAACTGTTTCCAGGAAATCACAAGGGATTGCTTCCCAGACGGCTCCCAGCCTGAGGTCCCATGAGGAACCCGGCAAAGGGTCCTGTGACCTGGAGGGCGTGTTCCCCTGGGAGAAGAGGGGCTCCTCGACTCGGGCGTCTGCTGTGCTGTGTGCTGGGCAGCTTCATACTCGGCCCCCGGCCCTCCGTGCTCACCCAGCAGGGGTGTGGTGAGGACACATGGGTGTGGACAGTGAACGCGTGGCCCAAGCACTGAGGCCCAGTCTTGAAGCCACAGATTCACGGGGTTCAGAGAAGCCTTTGAGGACAGGCAGCCCTCATTTCCTACTAGAAAAATCACAAAGGGGTGCAGTGCAGATGAGGGAGCCTGGAGCCAGAGCGATGCCCCTTCAGAGGCAGGAAGCCGCCCCGGGGCACGGATTCGGGAGGCTGCGAATGTGGGCAGGGCCCCATCTGTAGCTTCTGCGGCACCCGTCACACCGATTTACCAAGGCAGCTGACGTGAGACATTTCCAGCAGATCTGCACGTGGCAGTTTGCACCATCGAGAGTATGCTCGCTGCACAGCCCCAGGAGAGGCGCCTCTGGGAGAAGGCCTCGGGTCGGATTCGGCTCCACGCACGGGGCACCCACAGCCTGGGACAAGCTCACAAGATCCGCGTGTGCAGCACCTCAGGGCCCCGTGGGAGGGGGCAGTAACCCCTGGCCCCTGTGGGCTCACTCACGTGGCTCCCCCACGGGCTCCGCAGAAAGAACCTTGCCAGGAATTCAGAGGTAATGCTGGGCGCAGACCTCCCCCTGGGCCGGGGAGGTGTCTGTGGTCCCTGAGTGGCCAGGGTGTCGTGGGGCTCCCTCCCTCTGTGGGGACTCTGCATCTGCCCAACAGTGGAAAGAAAGCCGTGTCCTGGGCCGTGGCCAGGTGTCCACTGTGGAGCCTGGCAGCCGGCAGAGCGTGTGCATGAGGGAAGGGCCACTGGCAGGGAGGCCACGATCGAGTGGCCTGAGCTCGCGGCCTTTCGGGAGGAGCTCCCATATTGGCACCATTTTTCCTACAGCTTAATTGGGGTGCCGTTAACACCAAATAAACGGCACATGTATAAATGTGGTAAGTTTTGCCGATTATATACAACCGTGAAGCCAACATCACACTTAAGATCATGAATAATTTCTCACCCCAAAAGGCTCCTCGGACGTGTTTAAGTCCATTTCACTGGCTCCTGCTTGCGTCTGCCCAATCCCTAGATAACTGGGATACATTTTCTGGATTGTTTGCGTTTTCCAGAATTTCACATAGACGGAATCACGCAGTGTCTCCTTTCTCTGTTCGGTTTCTTTCAGCAAGCACGGTCATTTGACAGCCATCCGTCTGCGCACGTGCCAGTTGTACTGTCCTATCTATTCATGCCTGCACCGTTTGTTCGCCAAGTCACCTGTGGCTGGACGTGTGCGTTGTTTCCATTTTTGGCTGTTACAAACAAAGCTGCTATGAATATGCATGTACCAAAAACAACTTTAATTTTAGTGAATATCTTGACTTTTTGGTGAAAAATACAAAGATGCTAGAATGCTTTAACTTCCTGCTCCATGCTTACCTGCAATATTGTTCAGTAACTATATTTAGTCTTTATAAGTATGATCAGAAATCAAATATAATCGTGCTGATTGTTATATTCTGTTTAGGTTTAGCCACATTTTTTTTCCACCATTCCTTCTCGAATGTCAAGCCTTCCTTCTGGGATTATTTTCTTTCTTTCCAAAATGTTTAGTTTCAAAATATTTGAAAGGTTTAGATGGTGGTACATTTCTTGAGTTTGCCTGAAGATCTCTTTTCTGTTGTTGTTCTCGCCCTTTGTTTTCAAAAGATTTTCTTAAATGCAATTTTAGCTTAACATTATTTTCTTTCACCATTCTGAATTGTTCCTCTGTCATGTGTCTTCCAACATCAATGCTGGTTCATTAAATATCCAGCTGTCACTTGTGGACAGATAATCAGTCTTCTTCATTCCAGCTGCCTTTAGAACTTCTTCTCTGACTTCTGCAATCTCTGTATGATTGATTTGGTTTGGCCTTTCATTTTATTCCTCGAGATTCATTTGGATTCTTAAGTCTGAAAAATGGTGGAAAGTTCTGCTTCATCATCTCTTTCAATATTTCTTTCCATCATTCTATCTTCTTCTGGTACGCCAATATTTGAGATTTCTTATTCTATCCTCCATGTTGTTTAGCTTCTCTTTTATATTTTAAATCTGTTATATTTTCTGGCTACACTTGGAGTCATTTTAGCAGGTTGAATTTCAGATCAAAGCCAAAAACTTCTCTTTTACCTTTCTTATCTGCTATTTAACCCATTTAGTAAGTTTTGTGTCAATTATAATAATGTTTAAATCTGGAATTTCTTGTGTTAGTGTGTACATGCAGGCTTGTGTGTGTTTAATCTTTAACATGATTGAATACCTCTAATAGTCTTTTGTTTTTAAATCATATGTTACATGTGCTTCACTTTTTAAAAACATTAAGCACACTTACATTCCCTCCATTCATTCCAAGTTTGATCTCTGCTCGCTCTCCCTCATCTACAATGGCTTGTTTTCATTCATGATTTTTCTCATGCTCCTTGAAACATTTTCTGAGGGAAGTATTTGAGGACCCAGTTGAGAGCACCTGCTTTTTGGGAGGTTTTGGGTAAGTTTCAGCTCAGTTCCTGGCACCACCACTTCAAACAAGATCCTAGACTCAGGCCTTCACCTGCCACACAGATAGAGTGAGTACTGACGGGCCTCAAATTCAGGTAAAGGTGGGTTCGTGCTTACAGATGCGAAGGGGTAACATTTCCAGCTCCACGCAGAGTGAACAGAACAGGCAATGACTCCTGGCACCTCCCTCGCCAGCTGACCCAGTGAGGGTGCTGGCTTTACCAGGACTCTGCGGTTTCGACTTTCACTTTGATGACACCTTAAACCCAGCTGTGATCTCAGGCCTGGCTACCCAATCTGAAGCTTTGTCTCCCGTGGTCAGTGGCTGCAGTTTATACATTTTCCTCTCTGAAGTTCAGCCTTCTCTTGATTTTTAGCATGTAAACTGTTTTTTACCTTGTTGTAAGCACAGCCAATCTTTTAAAAATACATGTGTGCAATTTAATCCAGATTTTTAAGGGTCTAAGTGAAAGGGTATAAGTTATTTTTGAGGGTATAAGTTTGGTCACTGTGCTCACCAAAATAGAACTATATTCTAACTTAATTTATACTGAATTCTATGTATTTATATCTAAATAAGCTAAATATTCAACAAGCAAAGGCCATGATTTTCAACCCCACATGACACAGTCTCCCGCTTAGACAGATTTTAGGCTAGATTTTAAAGATGCAAAATTGTCTACTCTGCTGAAACTGAACCTCGCCAATTAATATCAAGGTACATGAGAGGCAGTTAGTGATGGAGGGAGGTTTTCAAGGGACCTCACATTCCTGTAACGATGGTACGGAGACTGTAACGTTATACATGCCAAAGGATACGGATCTATCACTGTTATTAATGAAATTACATCTGCCTGTTACGTACACTATACCACATAACTATTATACTTTATACATGCATATACAATTATACTTAAGAATTCTCCCCTATAAGATACATGCACTTTAATTTCATCCCAGTAATAAACTTACAAGACTGTATTATGCTCGATATCTGTGAATGACATACAAGTCATTATTTTTCTTTGAGATGTGCATTAACAAAAATCTGGTCAAGGTCCCCAGCCCTAGTTTGATGGAAAGTGACTATTACGCTGTTTGCTGCTACCTCGGTATCTTTGCGATCATCCAGTAGGTTGGAAGGAAGGCACGCCAATGACCCTGGCCCAAACACTGTACCTGTTGCTATCGACAGACTTTGTTCCTTAGAGAAGGTATTAACTGCCAGCTGGCTGTGACAGTTTGTGAACTACCACCGACATTTGTGTTGGCATTGTCACAGGATTCACAGCTCAGGAAATACATACAATCAGATTATGATGGACCCAGGGATTTTCGAGGTAAAAAGTATAACAATTACAAATTACGAACATGACCATAATAATAAAATTATTTTAAAAATAACTTAAGTACTCAGGGTCTCTTTCAAAAAATATATGCTCTGTATGAAACGCACGGCGTCCATTTGCAAGCATACGAGGGACTGCAGAGGACAGGTGGTGGCAATTCAAGTGTATATCTGGTAACCCATGCTAGATTTTCTCACAGACCACCGTGTCAGAAAACTGCTAAGGAAAGGCAGAAAGAGATAAAGCAAAAAAGTAGTTTTGAATGATATAGAATATAAATATAAACTATCACGGAATTAGAAAAAAATTAACACTACATCTTTGTTATTTTATTTTGCCAGACTCTGAACTGGTTCTTCCGTATAATCCACGAATATCGCTTTGTAAGGAGTTTAAATTGTCATGTTTTAACATAGTCACTCAAAGTGGCTAAGTCTCTAGGAAGTGTCACTGAAGAGTACTAACAAGGGCAGAATTCTTGGTAAATATTATAAACACTTTGAATCCGATAGCGCTTTTGGTGAGTATTATCAGACAGAAGAGAAGTCGGTTAGCGTTTTTATCTCCACTGTAATTTCCTAGTCAACACTGAAGACGCCATAATTAAAGGACTGGACTTGACCAGCTACTCACTGCGGTGGTCCCAGGGCAGTGTGGGGACTGGCATTCGCCACTCATCTGGTTCGGGATCAAGACATCGTCCCAGCAAGACGGGCCCTTCGAGGAAATAAAAAACACACATATCCTGGGTGCACGAATTGTAATCCGAATGTTCTCCCTAACACAGCCTCTACAATTTGTCTACTGATATTGTCAAATGATGATGAAATTAACGCGTCTGCCAATGATTTTCAAAGTATGATGCACAGACCCAGGGAGTCCTCAAGACCCTTTGGGGGATCCAGTAGGTCAGGACTATTTTCGTAAATATACTAAGATGATATTTACATATTGCTGCAAACACGTAGGTCATTCACATCTAGTACGGTCATTCACATCTAGTACAGCCCCCTACAGTTCAATTTAACTTTTAAAAAACTTAAATAATATTCTTAAATTCACCGTAATTACAACGGATGACTTTTAAATGAGCACATATGCAAATTTCACTCAAGAGGACTCGTGCGGGCAGCAGCGGAACTTGAGGAGGTGGCAGGCCTGTCACAGGTGGCATGCTGAGCAGTCACATCTCCCGACTCGCTCTCCTGAGGCACTGTGAGAAACACGCTTAGAAACTGGCAAACTTATAATCCCAATGAGAAGACAGCACTGGCCAAGAAGAGATTTCCGCTCTTTTCTGGAAATCTGCAAGAGGCTGCAGCAGAGGAGAGGCCTCTGCGCCCTGCAGGACCACAGGGAGGCTGAGAGGTCACAAGCACAGAAAAGGCAGAAGGCAGAGAGGGCAGAGTGACACCTGGAGCAGTGAACACAGAAGAAGTTAAACTTTCATGAAGTTAAATTTTTATATACAGGAGATCCTGAAATCTTCTAGAGAGAAATGTCAGATCAGCTACTGGAAACAAGAGTCAAAATAGAATTTTAAAGTAGCAGCAATATCTTCAAAGCCTGGAGGGAAAGATTTCAACCCACAATCCTCTACCTAGCCCATTAAGTGGGACAATGGTCAAAGTGATTTGGGGGTACTCAGAGAGTTGCCAAGTCTCCTTATATGCCTGGGAGGCGTCTGAGTTCGGAGGGATGCCAGCCAGCTTGAGGGAAAGTGGAGAGCGGCCCAGCCTTGGTCCCATCCACAGCTGTGACTCAGGGAGGGAGTCCCATGAGAGCTGGGTGTGTGGGTAGCTGGCGGGGAGGGAGGGAGGAGGGAGGCGCCTGTTGCATTTCGAGAGCAGGCGCCCAGCCAGTGCCCAAGCAAGGCTAGGACAAGAGGCAGCGGCTGCCATGATTTTACTACTGAGGACATCGGGACCATGCCAGAGGTCCCCGTCAGGAGGGAAGTGGGTCACTACCGGTCAGCACCAGGACCTCCCACTCCGCGATCCAGACCAAGTGGTCGCCACAGAAACCCTGCCACAGAAACCAGCGAAAACGTGGGAGGCCGACGGGGCCCCGGCCACGCGGACACGTCCACAGAGTGCTCGCCTCCTCCCTACGTCAACTCAACACGCACACGCACGCTGCCTCAGAGGAGGACGGGGGGCAGAGGCGAACAGGGAGGCTCACGTCTGCCTCAAAGAGACGAAGCTGAACTTCCACAGAGGCTGTTTAAACCCGACCTTGAAAACAGCTACATTTCAAATACACGTTCATGAAACCGAAAGCCCCCTCTGAAGCTGGCCGGACGCGCTGGCCCTCAGCGGGGCTGCTGTCTGGGAGTCTGAGTTCTCGAAAACAGCTACATTTCAAACACACGTTCATGAAACCGAAAGCCCCCGCTGAAGCTGGCCGGACGCACTGGCCCTCAGGGGGGCTGCTGTCTGGGAGCCTGAGTTCGGGG